TCCCAAGGAGCCAGGCCTGTTGCCCGCTGCTTCTAGGGCACAATGCAGTCTGCGCTGCCAGGACAGGCAGGTAACCTGTGTTAGCGCCCCTATTGTTCACCTGGCAGCAACAGGACCCAGTGCCTGACATTCAACCCACCACTGGGTCGCAACCCGTAGTTTGAAAACCACTAGGCTAGGGGAACCCAGCAGCACTGTATGCAACATAAACAAAAATCTTGCATAATCAACAGGGTGCAGTGCTTCCCTTTTGTTGCCAGGTGAGGCATTGCCACATAACCCGCTAGCTGAACTTCTGTCTTGGACCAGCCATTGCCCCCTCCTTTTCTGAAACCTTATCTTTCCCCCCCTTAAAATCAGTGGCAAAAGTTCCATTGACTTCAGCTGATGTGAGGTCAGGAGTTTCAAGTAAGACTCCTGGATAAATTCCTTCAGAGAAGGTGGAGTCATATGGAAAACGTGTCTCAAGTCATGTAGGGAAGCTAAAGGACAATGATGATATATCTAGCTGTTCAGTTCTCCTAGTATCTCTTGGGAAGGTTTCTCAAGCATTGTTGTCTGTACAAAAGCTGCAGCTGTCACAGGTTATTCATTTATTTATCTTCAGTCCAATTCTGCCCTGCAACAAAAATGGAAATTTGCTGCAAACTCTTTGGGAAATCTTACTGTAATGCTTGCATATAATTGTGGGCAAGGAAGATATATAATTTCATGGGGTAGGGGGAATGACAGCCCTGCAGGAACTAAGAACAGTGGAGGTGATTAGGCAAAATTATTTAGGCTGTAACTTCCCCAGAGAAGTATCATCCTCTGAAAGGCTTGCATATACTGGTTCAAACTAGATTCTCCAGAGACCAACAGACAAAGAAAGGATTTTCGCATCAGCTGGATGAGTGCTCTCTGGCTTTTAGCAGGTTTACAGGAACTTTTATTAGAGTTTATATATTCTTTCTGTAATGTTTTCACCTGAAGAATAAATGTGCTTCTTAATAAAGAGCTGCAATGTAATTTCTGTTGTTTGTAGCCTTTGACGAGAAAATAAAGCACAGGTGCAGACTTGTTTTGGCAATCTGACATGTACAACTGTGTAGGCAGGGAACTGCAGTCTGGAAAAACCCATTAGCAGGGATGGAAATATATTCCCTGCCCAAGAGAAGTGGCAGCTGAGAACCCAGCAGTCTGGAGTGAATGCATTGTTGATGGACTATGGAGGGAGGCTAGGGTTGCCAGGTGTCTGGTTTTGAACCGGACAGTCCAGTATTTGAGCTTTCTGGTTGGAAAACAAATTGAGAAAATATAAATGTCCGGTATTTTCTAAATAAGATGTAATGTAGATTGTGATGTAATGTCAAGTGTGTCCGGTATTTTTGTTGAAACCATCTGGCAATCCTAAGGGAGGCATACAAGTGCAACTGCCCTGAACTGTGCCACCCTCGTCTCTTCCTTTCCTTCACAATACTCCTCATGCACTCAAGTTTTCCTTCTGCCTCTCTCCCTCCCGCCAGCCTGGTGCTGAGATATGTGGCTGAGGAAGAGAACATGCAGCAACCTATCAACATTTGATATAGTCTAAACACAATCTTATAATATTAATACCTATTTTAACGACACTAAGTCACAGGTAAGCCAGACTGGTTTTCAGTTATGAATCTGTCAGTGTTCCGTGAGGCCTGGCATGTTAGTATAAGCAGGCATGCTGGTCTGTCGGCATCAAAAACCCTTGGTAAATGGGACTTGCTGCCATTTTGTAAAGTTTCCTTTTTTATTCTCTTTCCTGGAATAACTAGGTCAGACCAAGGCATATGTGTATGAGGTTGGTTTAAAAAAAAATCACTCAACTATCATTCATTATTCACTTGAGATTGCATTAGAATATATTAATATTAAAATATTTAAATGTAGAACAAAGGGTTTGAAATGTTACAACGATTCATCACCTGAAATGAGAAGTCAGTACTCTGTTAGTTACAGAACTGTTTGTTGCTGAGTTTAGGATCCTCCATTTCATCTCATTAACAACTATTTTTACTTTGAATGCTGACTGGACCATATTCCTGTTTCACTGAATTTAGCTTGTTGAATGGTGTTCATATCTACAGTCATATATGAAGGTGCATGTTTAAATGCTGCTCAGGAGCAGGGACAGGGCTTCTCCTCCTCCCCAAGGTGTCAGCTGCAGCCAGGGCTCCCAGCACCGATCGTGCCCCGCCTCCAAGCCACTCCCCTGCCTCCGCCAGGCTTCCGTCCGGCGCCCAGCCAGAAACCCAGGAAATACCGGTCATTGCACATGTCCGGTATTTTCTGAATTTTTTTACCAGAGGTCCCAAAAACTGGACTGTCCGGTAGAATCCCTGACACCAGGCAACCCTAGATGCCACAAACCGCTGGCTCACTTGGCCTGGACATGTCCTTGTCCTGCCATAGGGTGGGGGGCAGAGCCTGGCCATTAAAGCAGGGGTCTAGGTGAGGAGGATGCTCAGGCCTCATTCGGGCTTTGCTGCTGGTTGCTGAGTGACAGTGTCCCAGGTGGCTGGGCTCTGGCTACCTGCTCCTGCGGGTGCTGCCAACCAGGCTGAAATCCCTGGGGCTTGTGTATGGGGGGGTTCACCCAGCCCCACCCACCCTCCATCACTGAGCTGGGGGGTGCACACCCCCCCCCCACTTATTGAATTGACCAGATGACGCTCCCTGCACTTAGCCCCGCCCCTCCCTCACAGGCAGGCAGGAGAAACATTCCCCCCAGAGACTCTGCAGAGGCGCTGAAGGGCAAGAGCAAAGTTGAACAAGCGCGCATGCGCTCCGGTTGAGCGGCAGGCCGGGGGAGGAGGGGAGGAACGGGTGACGGGTCCGCGGGACCAGAAACGCACG